TTTTAGGGTGTGTTTGGTTTGTGTTTTGAAACATGTTTTTGGAAAATAATTTCCAAAAATATATTTGGTTACAAATTTTTTCAAAAAAAATTCAAAATTACTGCTCTCTATTGCACATCAATTAATCACTTTTTCTTTCCCCTCTTTCTTTCTCAATCATTTTTTCTCTCACACGCATGTACTTAATTACAACAAAATAGCAAATCATTCCAAACTCCCAAACTCCAAAACTATTTTCAAAATATACAATAAAATAAATTAAAAAAATTTCTAAGTTCTCTTCCCAAAATTTATTTTTAAAAATTTATCTCAAAACACAAACCAAACACACCCTTAGTATTTTATATTAGAGTGTTATATTTTTGGAGTTACGTTTGAAAAAAGTACATTAAAGAATTTTTTTTGAGATGTTACGTTAAGTAATTTCAACATTATAAGAAAATCTACATATATCTCTCAACACACATAACATACTAGTGTTTTATACTTGGTTTTTTTTATGTAATTCACGCTAGAAAAGGACCTTTGGATTCAAAAGAAAAAATAGATGACCAAACAATTCATAAGATCACTATTTGAGATTTATTTTAACATAGGACAAACCAGAAAAAAAAAGTTTAAAAAAATTGACAAAAATTTTAAAAAGAAATCACGGCAAAAAAATGCTGAAAAATATGTTACATTTTTAGGTAGATCCCAAACACGTGATTGGAGGGTGGGATTAGAGTCCATCTTCAATCCATCACGGAGTGCATTGTTTGGTTCAAAATTTGTAAATCAGATTAGGAGTCTCACTGAATTATGAATTCCAAATATGTTGGATTATTATGCCCCAGGGGAATGAGTGGTAGAAATGGTGCAATTGTAATTCCATCAGATTAAATTATAAAATGACATATTTGCTTTCCAAGTATTTGATTTCATTATATATTATATTTAGTAAAATAAAATAATATATAAAAATCTCAATTAAAAAATAAAATAAATATATTTAATTATTGATGTTCTATTTAAAATTTTTGTTGGTATTTTATTTAATTTTATTATTTAATTTCATTATTTTTTAAAATAATTTTATTTAAAAAATAACATAAATTTTTATTGATGTTTTATTTATTCAATTTATTTAATTTAAAAAATAAATTTATTTAATTTTTAAAAAATAAAATAAAACAAATTTTTATTTAATCTTGCCAAAAAAAATAAAAATATTAAAGATAGATTAGTATTGCTATTACTTAGTAAAAAATTGAAAAGACTATCATTTATCTTTCTTTATAATATTTCAATCAAACATTGGATTCATTAAAATAGTCATTTGTAGACATCTAATCCCATGAGAAAATAAGCATGGGATACACATTCTTTTCAACTAAATAGTTCAAAGACAATATATTTACGGATTAATAGTTCGATAAATTACAATTCCCCTTTATCCAAAACATGGCCTTAAAGATATGTTGGATTAGGAAGATAGTGAAGTAACAAAAAAAAAAAAAATGGTTTTATTTTTAGCAATACACCCCTTTAAACAGACGTTATGCGCCTTATTTTTGGACCATTAGATTTAAAAATAATAATAAAATGATAAAAATAAAAATAAAAACTTTAAATATTCTAATAACAAAAATGGATTACCCACTGAACCGATTTCTTCTGCAATTTTTTATTTTTTATTATTATTTTTTTTTCATGATCCATTAGTTAATGGATTGGTAGTATATTATCTCTTCTTTTATGTTAACAATCAATTAGTTTATGGATTAGAGTGAGCATTGACAAGTGCCACTTGATTACTCGGAAATTGATTTTTGTTATGAAAATGAGATTATATTTCATGATAATCAAATTGTATGGATTCAATTTGATGACTTGTAAAAGAAGATGAGATGAGTCTTTAGGGCACTGGTGTGGTGCCGGCCAAAGATGTTTTGATGCCTCTGTTAGACGTCTAGATTTACAGAGAGTAAAGATGGAGAGCTTAAGATTTATCAATACAATAATTTTTTATAGAGGGTCTTTGTCTTGGGTTATATATATATATATATATCAATGATCAACTCATCACAGTGGTGCCCAAAGACTTTTTGCATCTTCTCTTGTAGATTATGGGATAAGATTGGGACCATACAAATTTGATAGTCATGGTTATGACAAATGTGGTTCTAGCTATGATTTAAAGTGGCCATGTTATAATAAATGTGGTATTGGTTAGTATTGGTTATATTCAAAGTGATGTAGTTACGAAGTAAAATGGTGTTAGTTTTAAAGTCATCATGGTGATGAGGCTAGCCACATAATAAGACGTTGGTCTAGAGGTTAAATTTCTATGTTCATATTCTATTAAAAGTAATGGTAGGAGGAACCACATTCTAGAATTAAAATTTAAACATCCAAGAGGCAAGAACTAAAATTATATTAAATTTGATGAAAAAACGAAATAACGGTAGGCGTATAAAATTATAAATCACACATCTTTTGTAAAAATACATTAAGAGCAGGAGTTTCACTAGAACGTGCATAGGTGTCACTCACTATCTATGTACTCTACCAAAACATTGCAATTGTTTCTCTATCAAATCATAAGGAACAAAAACTGCACCTGTGGAATCTTAAAGTGTGCAGCTAAACTAGATAGATTATGCCCACCATTCACCATCTTTTTTGCACCAATGGCAATGATATGTAACAGCAGTGAAAAATTTGGGGGAGAAAATAAAAGTAGAAAGTGGTTGTAGTCAAAGCCGGAGCTGTGTAAAGATCTTTAAACCCTGAAAAAAAAAAAAAAAAAAAAAAAAGAAGAAGAAGAAGAAGAAGAGAGAAGAAAATAAAATTGTTAGTGAAAAAAATTAACGTGAACAATGAGTGCGGCAGTGTACATTGCAGCACAGAGGAGGTAATGAAGGTGTTGGCATGTTTAGCCACCCAAGCAATACCAGCAAAGCGGAGTTGATAGACAGATAGGCAAGTTGCTACCAATAATATTGCAGATTAATGTTAACAAACTAATTAGTAATTATGACTATCAAGTATGTATACACCAATATACTAGTTTAGATAGTCAAAAGAAAAGGACAATGAAAAGAACCCTCTACTTGCAAGCGATCCTAGTTTTAGCACGAGAGCGATTAAGGTGTTCAGCAGCAAAACTAGGATCAGAGAATTAAAAGTATCATGTATTGCAGATGCGCGTGAATCGCTGAAGAATATGACTGGTTGTAATGCGAGGGACATCAACTAAAGAGATCATAATGCAAGTAGTCACCCATCATTCTTTTTTCTTCCTCTACACAAAGATTATGGAAATAATGAGAATCATGGACCATTGAAACAGGCTTAAAACCCTGCATAGACCTGATATTGTCTAAATTCTGTCCTTTCAACCACCAAAGAAAAGTTTTTTTTTTTGGTTATGTGTGTGCATGTGCAAATGGCATGCAATGACCTTAAGACCAGTAATCACCCAAATCAAGTCAAAGAAACTGTAAGGATGGAAAAAATAAAACTCATTGGAAACCAATGGTGCACGCAACGCGACACAACGTAACCAATTAATTTTCTTGGCTATTTCAGAAAATGGTTTCACTCACTATGTGCCTTATAGTAAAAAAACATAATCCTTGAGACAGCAAATAGCAAAAATAAGCAAGTTTCAATGAACTCCACCAAGGGTTTTCTTGTTAAAAACAAGTTTAGAGTACATTTGTTTTTTAAACAGAAAATAGGCAATGGTTCCATCATTACATGGATTTGATGATAGATCTTTGCCAAACATACTATACAATCTCATTGTAATCTTCTTCACTCATACTCGTCATTTAAGGGAACATGAAAACCAGTTCACTGAAAATGAGTTGGAATTATCAGAATAGTTAACTGAACAGTTATATTAATTGAGATATTAGAACTTCACTGTAGAAATATTTTTCGAAATTATGATTGCCAACTCCCTAATCGTTCACCTAAGTCGAATGTACTTGAGTCACTAAACCACCCAAGTTACTTTTCACAAAGTAAATTTATCCATGATTATACAACACAAGCACAAAACACACTTTATTAGAAAATAATAGCATAAAAAAGTAGAAGAGAATTAGAAACATATATTTTCGGCATAGCATCATAGACAATTTTCATATAGTTTAATTTAATCCTTTCTGCTATTTTCCAACCAGAGATGCTACACGACAATACAAAATTCTACTAGTATATCTTCCCAATCAACATATACTATTCTTACACAGATACATCAGAAGAGAGAAGTACATTTCAACCTAGAATTATGAAAACATGTGAAAAGGCAATCATCTACATAAACCTACCTTCTAATTTAATGCTCCTCCTTTCTTGTAGCTGATCCCCAGATTCAGCCACGGCTCTGTAAAAGTAGTACACCCAAATGAGATATCGAAAATGTCAAGGTGTTAAGAGCAGAATGTCAATACCCCACTTGACCTTATCTTTAGATACACCGAGGTACTTTAAAATGAACAAGAAATTTTATATAAACATCCATGCATATACCCACCCAATTATGACAATAATGTTACAATCTGAAAAACAAAAATAGTTTGATGCAAGGTTGACGTTCATATTATCCATGTAGCTCACATCATCGCCATGAATCTAAGAAGAACAAAATTACAAATTATAACAATTAAGCTCAAATTCTGAAGTACAAGTGGGGGATAATGATCTTGCCTCTTTCTCTTTTGCTGCTTCTTTCTCTTTCGCCTTGATGCTTCTTTGTTGACAATTGCATCAAGAGAATTGGGATTGTCTTTCCTGACTCCATTAGGTGCATCTAATGCAACTAAGCTCTCCATGTAAGTAACAACGTAAAATGAGTGATAAGAGCCATTTACTCCAAGATGCTTCTTGATTTGTTGGCTCTGGGGATCATTCCAAACCAACTTCTCTTCCTCTGCAACCATTAACACATCGCCATTCTTCTGCAAACCCACTACGCTCCAAAATTCTTCTAGTCGAATGATTGTGGATCAATTAGTCCACGACTCCTTGACACCATATTCCTCCATTACCCATATTTGAAAAGTCTGGGAACTTGAATAATAGTCACGTTGTACAACAGCAAGCGACTCACCCAATACCATAACATACATGGTTGTAGAATCTCTTAATTTAACTAGATGGTTCCGCAATGTCATCTCCCTAAACACCTCACCACCCATATCAAATCTCAAAATCCATAAACCACTAACAAACGCAATCCAATGAACTGCCCCATTCGCAAACGCAGAGAATGTACCGAAACAAAAAGTTTCACTACAAAAATCAGCAACACAATTGTATCTCCTCCAAGAATGAGTGTTAAGGAAGTAAATCTCCACCGTCCACGGAACATCCAATCCACTCTTGTAATCAACAAGGTACCCAATTTTCACAACTTTGTAGTCATTACTTCTCTGATCAAACCCAAATCCAACAGCAGTTCCAACTATAGAAGGTAGCTTAGGAACATTACTAGTAACTGGAGTCAATGATGGAGGAAGTTTTACAATTTTTCTAATTGATGGGTTCCATAAAAACAAATTGCCTGGGCATAAAGATTCCAATAAACATAACCCATTACATGAACCCACAAAATTGAATGAAAATACAGAGTACACAGATGGGGACTCGAGCAAAAGATACCCTTCACCAAAAGTTTCGTCATCTATACATGATCTATAGCGATCTTTATTTTGGGATTCGCAGTTGATGAGTAGTTTGGGACAGTGGTGTGATTATGTTTGATTGATGTGTGTGGTGACGAAAATTGGGCTAGTGATAAGGAGACCCAAGACTTGCAGACTGACCTGAATCGAAGCAGAGACTTCACTGGCAGTCTTGCACGGATCTCCATCCAGACTTCCTCATCTAATCCTCCTTCAACATTATCCAATTTTCTAGGTTTAATTTTTAAAAAATTTTATAAAAAAATTGGATTGTTTTTTTTTGAGTGTTGAACACACACTTGGGTGGGATTGTATCTCTAACTACCGTGTTAATGTTATTGTTGAGTTTGTGGTCTCATAGTAATTGAGTCTCTAATAGATGTACTAAATATTTGCATCTAGAGGTTTTGTCCTTGGTCATCGATGGAGGATGATGCGGCTGTGTTGAATTGTCGTGTATGCATTATACCATTATTGATTGAACATCGTATGTGATGAAGTGTTGAGATACATTATATATGTATGCTTGCTCGGGATGAGGTAGTTATGTGTTCATATACTTTAACACAGTGCTTGTATCTTGACGGTTTGTGTATATGTGTTATACATGTTGAATATGCCATG